TTTTGGTCGTACCTTCCAAAATGCATGAGTAACCTTTGGATGAAGTATCTTGATATTATAACTTTTCTTGCAAACAAGTCTTGGCAAACGGCTACATCGATGAAAGAGGGTCCTAATCGAACGGCGTGGAACTTTGCATGAGCTTTTCCATAATGTAGGATTAACCATTCCGTCTTAGCATACGGATCTTTGTCAATACGAGCCCATGATCGACTAGATAATGCCAAGTTAATAGGAGTTTCAACATAGTTAATCATTTTAGATAAAATGTACGTAGTATGTAATACAGGAAATCTTCACACGTGAATTAAAATTTGATATATTGACATTTGCTGAAGATGGAAATTTGCTATCTATTTATATTCGAAATCAAGCCTACATTTAAATAATTAATTTGGGACAACTTGAAAGACGATTGATAAATTGCTATTTATGGATAGATTTGCTTTTAATTGAATATAAATAAAAAATTTATATAAATTATAATTAGACTACAATATTCAATTGAAATTGTTGACTCTGAACCTTCTCGGAAATTGGGATTCGATTGGTAAATCACAATTTATTTAATACAATTAAAGATGTGATAATAAAGTTGTTATATATTTGATATAACAATGTTTCCGAAAAATTATCGGAGTTTATAAATAATCAAGTATATTTTTTAAGCAAATTAAGCTATAGTTTTCTAATTATTTATGATTATATAAATGACTGATCAAAACAATGATCACGAGAATTTATACCTTTTTGGTTGTATTTTGTTGTGACAATAGAAGAATAAAAAAAGTCGTTATTTCGCAGGTGACAATAGAAGAATAAAAAAAGTCGTTATTTCGCAGATTACATACAATAAAGAATTTTTTTTTTAAATCTTGTCTTAATTCGACTAAATTAGATATTCTTTTGGGCCTTATCACAAATTTATAATGCTGGTCGGTAGTTATACTGTATATTGATCGTCGTCGATTTAATTCCTCTCCAAACAAAAAAAAAAAATATTACCTTTGGACACATTATTAAGATATTTTTATTACAAAATCGTCCAGGAGATGCTCCTTTGGCTCTGATATTATATAAGTCAATATATATCAACTACAATTTCTTTTTAATGAAGTTAAAGTTATTTAAGAAACATATAAGTATGTTCAGTATTATTAAGTCTTTATCTTTTCTTTAAAGTATGTAATAATGAAGATAGAGTAAATTAAAAATATTTATGAAGTGCGTATAAGTAAGTATTACTAAGTCCTTAAAGTATGTAAAGAAACTTCTTATGTGAATTTATAGATAAAAAATTAGAACAATATTTAGATATCCCATTTATTTGTCCGGAGCGAAGCAAGCCACTATAAATAATGATCAAAATAAAGAAAAATCTCTCATTTTTATTATTCATCGTGAAACCATTAAATGTAACAATACTATACTAAATTAAATGTAAATGTAACACTAAAAAATGTCAAGTTCGAAAAAATTGGAGTGACGCTCGCTTCGGACGCACAACGGTCCCCGTTGCCTAGTTAATTATTCAATTACAGTACTAGCATCACACTACTGCTCAAATACATTCTCGAATCAACTTCTACATTATTCAATATCATTTATATTTATTAGACAAACAACTCAAATATTATGTAATAATTTAATTTTTATACAAAGCCCAACCTACGACTTGGTTAATGACAATTCGAAGGAACTGTATTTACCTAATTAAATGATCAACCTTAGTCTTTTATTTGAATAAAAAGAAGTTCGAGATAGATCTTCACTAAGAAACGGTTGTTAAGTCTGGAGGAGTTTGGGTTACCTCATCTATTGACTCTTTTGAATAGAAAGTAATAGACCAACTTTAAGACTAAGAGAATAACGATCTGCGATCCTACCAATAAAAAATTATGTCGTCATATTGCGTTATTTCTTAATTGAATTAATTTAAAGATTTATCTCATAACCGAAGTTAGCTTAATAGATTACTAAATGAACCGTTTTTAAGGGAATTGATGAAAAAGGAACAATCGAAACTAAGAAGTTTATTGTGTTCTTAACACAAATAACAAATAATGAAGTAAATATACTTTGTATTACAAGTCTTTGTATAATAATTAAGGAATTTACAAGTTTTTTTTATTGAACATAAAACAGAATATCCGGAACAATAACTCAGAAAACATTTTAATTGTTTTATGTGTATAACTTTAGTCATTAGAAAAAAATTGTGTGCAACATATTTGGTTATCTAATCCTAGCTCGCATTATCCTATGATCTAGAATACTTTTTTTTTTTTTTATCGTCTTCTGAAAAATTTATGTATCATATGATCGGCCCAAAAATTTGTGCATTGTAGCATTATACGAAAATCTCTGCATTTAATTATTTAATGGTTATACAAAATATTTTTAATGCTTTATAATCTTTTAATAAATTTCTAGTATGCAAAGATGAACTTTAAACCTTTTGAAATAATTTTAACTCAATCTTTATTTATTTATAGATAAAAACTAATTAGATAAAAATACAATATAATTAAATATAATTTTTTTTTTTTTATGTTCTGGTTTTATGTCATATTTAATTATTCCTTATTTTTTTTTTTTGTTTTGAATCTTAATGAATCGGTAAAATTTTTTTATTTACAATTTACCGTCTGTATGTGATAAAATTTCTAAATGATAATAATCTTATAATTGA